TTTCCACCATGATACCCTGTCTCAGCACACATGGGCCAAATAAATAAGTTTATGTGACCATGTAGTAAGCCCGATGAAACTGTGAACTAAAGGTGCTTTCTCCTAAGTGGTAACATCAAACTTTGGCAACGTCAAACTGACACATCAGCCATGTACTGCAGAAGAAATGCCATGTCCCACCCAGGCCTGGTGGGAGGATAGAAAACATTCCAACACAATCACTTAGCAGGACACCTGGAGAATTTTTAGAATCAAAGGGCAAGACTCTTACATGCTGGGAAGAAGCATGAAAACAGGATACTGTGACCCAAAGGGGTACCCCAGTGAGATACACAAAGCACACAGAGGCAGAGAAAAATCTAGAAGGAACTTCATCAGAACATTCAGGTCTTCTCATGTTACCAAGATGAGTGGTTGCCTTTTATTTCTAAATCTTGCCAGTTTTTAAAATAATGAGCCATAGCACATGGCAATGTATAGCTTTAGTTCCAGCACTCAGGAGGCAAAGGTAGATCTTTGTGAGATCAGGCCAACTTGCTCTACATAGCAAGTTCCAGGCCAGTTTGGGGTACAGGGAGACCTTGTCTCAAAAAGAACTCTCCCAACCCCAAATAAATAAATAAATTTTAAAAACCCGAAAGAATGGACCAAAATCACAGACAAATATAGTTCTGTAGTTTGGATCTGAAGCTTTGGTCTCCAGCCTGCAGTGCTGTTGGCGGTATGGCCTTTGGTGTGCTGTTGAGAATAACTTTATCACTGACTTTCTTAAAGCAACAGCAGGATCATCAAGATTACTCAGGGGTTAGAGGCACTTGCTGCATAAATCTAATGACCCGAGTTGGATTCCTGGAACCCATGTAAAGATGTAAGGAGAGAACCAACTCTAAAGTTGTCCTCTGATCTCTAAATGCCATGGTATGTGCACCCAACACATATACATCATGCACATAAACACACATATACATACACAGAGAGAGAGAGACAGAGAGAGAAATCCAGCATCAACGAATCAGATTGCAGCCTTTGCAATGAGCCACAACCACCTTTTTTCCTTTTAGAAACCATCTTGGATATCTGCTATAGTTATGGAAAACTAATTTACAATGTAAAATTAAATCTTCAGGACTGTTGATGTGGTTTGCTGGTAGGGAGTTTGTCTGGTATGAACAGGGCCCTGAATCCAATCCCCAGTAGGGTCCCCCCAAAACTGGAATGAGATCTTCAGAAGATTTTTCTTGTTCTACCCAGTATCATCTGAAAGCCATAGATACTAAACAGCAGACGGGCTTCTGGAGGAATGTGGGCCACGGTGGTGAGGTCCTGGTTTTCATTCTTGCCTCAGGTATCCCGAGACATGAAGCTAAAGGAGCCAGCCAACCAGAAACAGTGTTATAGACAGAAAAAGGAAAAGCTGAAAAAGCCCACTTTCTCAGTCAGAGCCACAAGGGGGCAGTCAACCAAGACCATTCCAGTCCCTGTGACACCAGAAGTGCCAGCCAATCTTCCCCGCGCTGACAAGGAATAGACCACACTCTGTCCCACCAGGCTGTAGAATCCCCATCCTGCATGTCAGTGGACAACACGGGGTGCTGGTAACCCCTGAGGGTGTGGAGAACACTCCTACTTGAGCTTCGTGGAGCAGTGTGACTGGTCCCCTCATATTACCTAGTGGAATGCACTGTCAGAATACAAAGCAGAGGGGCTGAATGTTAAGAGTCATATGATCCAGGGGCTGAAGAAAGAGATGGCTTAGCAGTTAAGAACACTGGCTGTTCTTGCAGAAGACCCAGGTTTGAATCCCAGCACCTACAAGGCAGCTAACAACTGTCCGTAACTCCAGTTCCAGGAGATCCGACAGCCTCTTTTGTCCTCTGCGGGCATTGCACGACATGGGTGCACTTACCTACATGCAGGCAATACACATATACACATAAAAATAATAATAATGAAAAAAAAAAGTCGTACGATCCAGATTCTCCTGAGATAAAACTACCTAAGTTAACAGAAAATATCTCACTGCGTGAAGAATCAGGAAGAGATCTCAAACTGATCAGGATAAACAGGTGCCAACATTGAGGTGACAGGGCTGTTAGACAATGGATGAAAGAGGGAAGCCATAATTCAGTGCTTCAATGAGTAATTACAAATGAAAAGCTAGAAAGCCACTGCAAAGAAGCAAGATATCACAGAGCCCTGAACACCACAATCCTGGATAAAAAGCTTGGTGGATGGATGGAATTGGCAGAAAAATGGATGGGGTAGAAGGGAGAAATCCAATCTGAACACAACATAAAGACATGAGAACAGTGGAAAAGAACAGACTTCCACAGGTTGTGCTCTGACTGCCATGTGCATGCCCCGCCTCAAATAAAAGCAACCAAAATTTAAACACGTAAATTTAAATAAATTTTAGAAATTGGAAGGGTCTCATATAGCCCAGGTTAGCTTCAAACTCATTATGTGGTCAAGGCTGGCCTTGAATTCCTGACCCTCCTGTTCTGAGACTGAGATTTCAGTCATGCTCCACCACACTCTGTTTATAAACTTAAAATATTTTAAAGCACTATATAGACTGGTCTCAAACTTGAGGCCTCTATCAGTTCTCTGCCTCAGCCTCTTAAGTAGCTGGATTACAGCTGCCATCTGGCCCAGCTTTCATTGTATGGGCAAAAACCACATCTTCAATAGAGCCCTGACACAGTACTGGTTTGTCAAAACCTTTGTACTGTTCCAGATGGACCTGGAACTACTCCAAAGATGAACATCAGCCGAGTAGTGGCTAAGGCCTGTAATTCTAGCACTTGGGAGGCTGAGGCAGAACTCCCACAAATTTGAGGCTATCCTAGGTGCAACAGTGAGTTCCAGGACAGTGTGGGCTACCTTAAAAAAAAAAAAAAAATCAAGGGGCCGGGGAGATGGCTTAACAGTTAAGAGCACTTGCTGCTCTAGCAGAGAGCTGGCGTTCAGTTCCTAGTACCATGTCAGGTGACTTCACAACCTCCTCAAACTCCTGTTCTAGGGCATCTGATGTTTTCTGGTCTCCAAGGGCATCTGCATTCACATGGTACATACACAGACAAGCAGGAACACACAAGTGCACATAAATAAAAACAAACCACCAATCAGCCAAACCAACAAAACATAAATCAAGCCTTACTAGGAACTGTATTTATAGTGCTCTTTGCATCTGATACTGGCTAAAAGTGGCAATTAAAATTTTTTTCTTAAAATTTATTTGTGTGGGTATGTGTACACACATACTACAGCATACCTGTGGTGGTCAGAGGACAATTTGTAGGAGGAGTCCATTCTCTCCTTATATTACCTGGATTCCAGGGATAGAACTTATATCCTCGACTTGGCAGCAAGTTCCCTTTCCTGCTGAGCCATCTCATGAGCTCCAAAGCACTAATTTTTAAAAAATATTTTATTTTTATTTAATGTGTATGGGTGTGTTGCTTGCATGTAGGTAGGTGCACCTGTGTCCTGCAATGCCCGCAGAGGTCAGAAGAGGGTGTCAGATCCTCTGGAAGTGGAGTTATGGACAGTTGTTAGCTGCCATGTGGGTGCTGGGAATCGAACCCTGGTCTTCTGCAAGAGCAGTCAGTGCTCTTAACCACTGAGCTATCTCTCCAGCCTCGCAAAGCACTAATTTTTGTTTGTTTGAGTTTTTTTTTTTTTTTTTTTTTTTGAGACAGGGTCTCCCTGTAGTCCCAGATGGCCTGAAACTCGCTATGTAGACCAGGCTTGTTTACATAGAAACTCTTGTCTGCCTCAGTCTCCTGAGTGCTGAGATTAAAGGTGTGTGCCATCATGTCCAGCCCCTAAAGCATTAATTTTTAATAAGAACCACAGAATTATCTCCTTTGTGTCTTCTGAGTTTGCCAGTCATAGTTCAAAGCAGCTGCTGAAATGTGCAGGATGAAAGTGGGGTGTGTACCAGGCTGTGGGTTGTACGCCTGGCTGGGCAGAGCAGGAGGCAGGGCACAGATGCCCTGGGGACCTCATTTGACCTGGCTAACTCTTCCCACCTTTGGTCCTCCTTACTGAAAGCATAAAGTCACAGCAATAAACTACAGAAAGCAAAGTGCCCAGCCTCCTATAGTCTGTCAAGATGTGTTAATGCAGACTGGCCATTTCTAATCTGAAAATCTAAAATACCTCAAAGTCTAAAACTTTCTGAGCACTAACAACATACAAGTGGAATACCATATACCATGAAGCTTTCTTCTGTGTATAAAATATAAAATGGTATAAAACAGCTAGTCATGATGGTGGACACCTTTAATCCCAGCACTGGGGATTCACTGAGGCAAAGGGAGGTGTGCGCAAAACCCTCCAAATCAAAATCCAACATTCCCAAGTGTTTGGACAGGGGCTGTCAACCCTGCATGTCTCTTCTTCAGCTTTCCACTGGTGCAGGCCCATGCCCTGTGGAACCCTAACTTCCTGGGAGGAGAGGCGAGAAGCTAAGCAGTCTGCTGAGAATCTCAGCAGAGGCAGCAACCTGGCTGGAGAGAGGTGCTGTGCCTGTGAGACCAGAATCTAGTAGCACCTCCCAGAATGCCAGATTGAGCAAGCCCTGTCCAGGAACATAGGACACATTGAGGAGGCCCCTTGTCACCCATGCATGGTCTTGTGATGGTGCTGCTGTGCTTTCTTCTCGAAATGCAGCTACTTCTGTCAAGGTCGCTGCATTAAAACATAGCCTATGAAGTAAGAACAGCAGCCTCGCCTTTCCACAAAGGGAATCTAGAGGAGACAGATCTAGCCCAGGGCTCTGCACATCTGTACAGCTTTCTGGAGTGGCCTCACTGGCAGCACTGTGAGCTTTAGGGACCTGCAGAAATAATAGGCATCTCTAAGCGCAGTCTTGTTCACCTTGGTTTTGCTGTGCCGAGTCTGAAAAGCCTGTGGCAAACAGCAAACAGGCCAGGGCACTAGGAAAACTGTCCCGTGGGAGAGCTTGGAAATGAACTTTTGTGGAAATTACTCACTGGTGGCAGCTGGCAGATGGTCACTGGCTGATTGTTTCTCACATTCTGCTCTTCAACAAGGAAAGCATCTTGTGGAACTGGAAGAGATGGAAAAGGATGTCTCAAAAGGTCTGGGTCCGATACCTCCCAGCTTCCCAGGGATGGCTTTGTGCTACCGACTTGGTAAGATAAGAAAAGCAGAGACTGGAATTGGTGCTCTGCAGAGACCCCACTCTGTCTTCGCCTGCAAAATGAACACTTTGCAAGCTACACGGGTTCTCTTAATGTTTTCAGATAAACTTGGGTCCTGGGTTTGGGCTGGCCTGACCAACGAGTAGCTAGCTATTCGATCTCTGTAGGTCTAGGACCTGTGTTGTTATCTAAAACAAGTACAAGAGCCAGGTACAGTGTGGCACTATGGTTCAGTGAGGGCAGCTGGTAGTGTGTACCACTATAGGACCTTACACATCTGTAAGCTTGCTATCCAAGTGTTGGTGAGGATGCTGGGGGGAAAAAAGAGAATCCTTATCCTGTTAGTGGGAATGTGGATTAGCACAGCCGTTAAGGAAAAGAGCAGAGGTTCCTCTCAAAATGAACAACAAACTACCCTATGATCTAGCAACCCCCCTTTTGAGTATTATCCCTAAAGGAAAAGAAATGAAACCTCAAAGGGACCATCACTCTCATGTTCCCTGGGGACCTAGTCACAACAGCTACTGTGGTATCACCTTATGTGTCTATCAACAGATGAATGGATAAAGAAAACATGGTCTGTATGAGGGAAAAATGACGAATTAAGAAAGTGTGTGGAGGACAACAGGACACTTATGACATGAAAGAAAAGAGCCCACTGAGGTAGAAGGATACAAGGAGGGTGGGGGAAGAGAATCAACAGAAACAAATTTTGTTTGGAAATTCCATAATGAAATAATACTTTGCATGCTAATTAAAAAATTTCATTGCATGACAGAGGTATGTTCACATATATGCAGGCAATACACTCATACACATAAAATAAAAGTAAAATATATTTTTTTGAAAAGTCAAACTTAGTAAGGTGTGGTGGCACTGCAATTCCAGCTTTTGGTAGGCTAAGGCACAAGCATTCTTGTGCTAGTTGGGTTACACAGTGAGCTCCAGACTAATGAGACCTGGTCTAAAAAAATAAAATAAAATATGTCTGGGTGTGGTGGCACATGCATTTAATCCCAGCACTTGAGAGGCAGAGGCAGGCGGATCTCTGTGAGTTTGAGGTCAGCCTGGTCTCCATAGCAAATCCAGGCCAGCTTGGGCTACAGGGAGACCCTGTCTCAAAATAACCAAAAATTATAATACTAATATAGTGATAAATTGGAGTTCATATAGTGAGTTCCAGACCAACTGGGGCTACGGGGAGATCCTGTCTCAAAAAAACCCTACACACAAAAAAATAAATTAAACAAAGTCATAAGTATAGGCCCAAATCCAACATAACTGGTGTCCCTTAAGAGGAGCAAAAAGAAGACAGTTACTAAGACAGAACCTACAGCCAGAAGTAGCTGTCTATCAGCCAAAGGTAAAAAACTCAGAAGAATGTGAAGTTGACCTTTGTCCTTCAGTTCAGACATCCAGCCCCATAGTGGTGAGAACACACTGCTGTTAGGTAAGCCGCCCAGTGGTAGAACCTTGGGAGGCAGCCCCGTCAAGCTAACACACCAGTCTTCACTTCTAACCACAGAAAGTTTGAAGAGTTCTCATGTATGCAGAAGTCAGCATATATCTGCAGACAAGGAAATTAAAAAAAAAAAAAATTTTTTTTTAACCGAAAAGCCCATTGTTGCCAAGTGTGGTCAAGTAGGCTTGTGATCGCAGCTCTGAGGAGGCTGAGGCAGAGGATCACATGTCTGAGTTCAGCCTGGGCTACAAAGCAAATACCCATCAGAAGGGTAAGAAAGGTTAAAGGGGACAGGAGTGAGGAAGAGGGAGGGAAGGGACAGAACTAGGGACTGACACACGCTAGGCAAACACTCAATGAACTACACACGTCTCCAGCTCATTGAAAAGATTACAATGCCCTCCCCCCAAACTTGTAAAAGCCACAATGTATTTTTCCTGTTATAATTACAGAGAGCAATGTGGCAAGTCCACCCAGAAAAATACAGCCCAGGCATCTTTCAACCTCAAGGTGCCACAACTTCCCATGATCATTAGTTCGCCTAACCCAACCAGTTTAAAAGAGGAAAAAAGAAAACTGCATGCATACTTTCTTTCTAGTCTTCATTCCCTGAGCAATACAGTAAACTATTAACATAGCAATTACATTGTAGGAGGCATTATAAATAATGAGAAACAATTTAAAGTACAGAGGATATACCTAGGTTATACACAAATACTGCCTCAGAGCATCAGGGCCACCTGCAGGAGAGGCCACCATTCTCTCTCAGGGATTTTTAGATTTCCATACAGCAGCAGGGTGACCCTAAAAGCAGGAGTTGTCCAGCCAAGGAATGTGGCTCTGAGAGGCCAGAAGGCAGAGACATGCTCAGATCAGATTCTGGTCCTATAGTCACTATCCTTTTCTCCACTGAGAAGCCCACAGAGACATATCCTCCAAGAGAGAAGACCACAAAACTCACAGCCAACTGCTCACAGAGGCTTTTTCTCTGGGAGGACCTAGCACCCAAGAAGAAACTTTGGGTCAGTTGCTCTGGGGAAGAACTCAGACCATAATAGTTTACAGGAGTATGTCTGGCTCAGGTTCTCACTGACAGTGTAGCCTGCATACCTGGATCCTCGCTGGGCTGGCCTAGTGGTCTGCTTAGGAGCGCTGGGCCCTGTGCCAGGGTCACAGGCTGGGCCTCAGAGTTGCTCTGGGACTCCACTGGCAGTCGTTCTTGCTCCAGGTCCTGAGGCCCATCCCCATCATCAATCACCACTGGGTCTTCACAGTGCTTGAGCTGCAATCCCAGAGAGAACAGTCAGAGCCAGGTGGAGAGGACCATACTCTGTACAGGTCTGGGTAGGCCCCCTCCCTTTCTGGTCCTGCTGGCCATGGACTCCATAGCTGATCACCATCTCAACTTAGACCTTCCTAGGGAGTGTTGTTTGCTTTCCCAGGAAACCAAACACTGGGTTGAGACAGAATTTCTCATTCCAGGGCCATAGGAAACATGATCTCATTGATGCACCTAGCACAGGGCCAGCAGGGTTCCCTTCTCCTAGCTGCCCCCTGCTCACCCACTGCCAGGGTCTCCCTGGCTCCCGTTCCAGGGCCTCCACTGCAGCCACAGCCTGCTCGCCGCTCTCGGGCTCCTGGGCACGCACCCAGCTCTGGATCTCCCAAGGCAGGATGGCCAAGAACTGCTCCAACACCAGTAGCTCCAGGATCTGCTCCTTCGTATGCCTTTCCAGCCGCAGCCAGCCCCGGCACAGCTCCCAGAGACGCTGCAAAGCCTCCCGTGGGCCTGCAGCCTCTTGGTAGCGAAAACGGCGGAAGAGGCGACGAGAGGACTCTGGGCTGGGAGGCTCACCCTGCAGGCTAGGGTTCTCTCCAGGAGGGCTCCGCATTTTCCGGGGTTCTTCGCTTTCCTTTGGAGCCAAGACTCGGGGGCACAGGGCTGTGGGCATGATGGGATTTGATGGGGGTCAGCAGCAGAAGACGACCCTATTTCCAAACAGAAATCGCTGGCTTCAATGCTCTGGTCTCCCGTGGTTGTTTGTGTGGGAGTGGCAGACAGAGCCCATGGAGACCAGCCCTTTGGAGAAGCCCTGGGAAACATAAAGAGTGTTGGTGTGGCTTGTCCTTACACATGAGGACAGAAAGAAAGATGACCGTTCCCACCAGCACCACTCCACATGGAGTCCCCTAACAGGCAGCACTGAAGAAGGCAGGAAATCTGGTAGACAAGTAGTGGCAATACTGGCATTTCCAGCATGCCAGGAGACCAATGGGTGACATGCAGAGATGTGGAACCAAGGTTCCTCTGATACCTTTGTGGCCAGGTCCTCCTGGAGGGTTCCCCAGCAGGCCACTCTCTTGGAGCTTTGGATCTAAAGTCACTGTCTTTGCTCTTGAGACCTTCACAAACTGAGCTGGAAAAAAGACAGATGTGTGGGAAGAGCCATCAAAGACCATCCAGGGGCAATTCCACTCTATCAAAGAAGACAGAAGGGCAAGAAGCCAGCAGAGCCTGCACTGAGGGGCAGGGACTGAAGCACACAGGTGAGAGGACTCCCAGGCAGATGAGGAGTTTAGAGACAGCTGCATGAAGTTTACCAGAGAAATAACACTGTATATAAAAGCACCATTGCTAGGCCTGGGGGTGTACCTCAGTGGTTGAGTTACAAGGTCCTGTGTTAGCCCACCAAACCCACCCTCCTTCCCTAAAACATCAGTGCTTTAAGAAAAACCTTATACCCAACAGATGAAGTATAGTCTTTATCCTATAATTAGAGATTACTTATTTCTGCGGACTAGAGAGACAACTTGCAGTGGGCCTGAGTTGGGTTCTCAGCACCAACCTCAGATGGCTCACAACTGTGTAACTCCAGCTCTAGGGAATCTATCACCCGTTTCTGGCCTTCATGGGCACTGCACCCGTGGGTACATAACCCCCCCCATATACATATCATTTAATAAAATCTTTAAAAAGTAACACTTTAGGGGGCTGGAAAGATGGCTCAGCAGTTAAGAACACTGGTTGTTCTTGCAGAAGACCCAGGTTCGAATCTCAGCACCCACATGGCAGTTAACAGCTGTCATAACTCCAGTCCCAGGGGATCTGACAGCCTCTTCTGACCTCCGCGGACACTGCACAACACGGGTGCACTTACCATGCAGGCAATACACATACACATTAAAAAAAAAAAAAATCACTTTAAAAAAAAAGTAACACTTTAAAACAATCTAAAAGCATAAAAAGATATTGTTTTCCATCCACTCTGTAACCCTCTTTCTCTCTAAACCATGCTCAAGGCAGCGGTACACACACACTTCACAGCCCTTCCTCCATTATGAGGGAGCCGCTCAGCCTAGCTCTGCCAGCCTAGCTCTGAGCCCTCTAGAAACCCTGGATGCTGTAGACTTGGTCCTGCTGGAGGTCTCTATACCTCCCAGGCTGTCAAGTAGCCAACATAGCCAGAGCACAGCAGAGTACAGATACTCCACTTGACTGGTGTTCTCCGACTCACACTTCGGAGCGCTAAGGGAAAAGGCATACGGGGATACCCAGGGTTCTTGGAATCCCAGGCAGGACCACTGGGAGGCACAACCCACCTGAAAGAGATTCCCAGCAGGGCACCACTGCCACCTCCCACAGCTCACAAGGTGGGCACAGGCCTCATTCCCATTTTGCAGGAAGATAAGCGATACCAGGAAAGCCACTAAGCAACTGAACAGCACCGGGAACTCCGAAATTTCTGAACTTCGCCGATTTCCAAGGTAAAGACATAAACAGGCACCCACCCCTAAGAGGAATCTGAGGGCAAAAGGCTGGAAACCGGGAACCGCGACTCCTCACAGCTGGATTTTAATTGCACATCTCCTGTACCTTAAGAACCCAATCTGGGTCCCGCCGGTTCTCCTTCCAGTTCCCTCCGCCCACTATCTCCCACCCGCTGGGAAACGGATGGCTCAGGTCTGCCCTCATGGTGGGGGAGCCTGCGTCCCACCCTCGGCACCCATTTCTGCTACGGGACTATTGTACGGGAGCTCTCAGGCCACAAAGTCTGGTTCCTCTTTGTCACCCTGGCACCTGGCGCGCAGGAGGCACCAGAGCGGAAGCTTGATGAATGAACTAACGTTAGTGAGGGGAGGGTTCCCTGCGCAGAGGCGGGGCTTGTTACAGGAGGAACCACCACCGTCCGAAGAAAGGAATGAGGGCTTTTAGGCGGGGAGAACCGGGGGTTTTCTGTCGCTTACTCGCCTCCAGGTTGGCCAGCTCGGGCTCCTCACGTCGAAGCCTGGGACTCCAGGGTAGCAGGTCCTCGCCTTCCAGCCCTGTCTCCCGGGAGTCTCGGCCAAGGCGGTTCCTCTGCATGGACCAGACTCCGTCCCTGGCCAGGCCAACCGTCTCGGGATCATACAGAAAGCATCAGCTGGGCTTGGGAGCTAAGGGAGACGCCTGAAAGACAATGCACCGCTTCATCCCCGCGCGCACTGCTGGGGACCCGGGGCTGTGCGCAGGGCGGGTGCGCGGGGTGCAAGGAGCAGGGCCAGGCGCGGGAAGAGGCGAGCTGGGAGCAGGGCCGAGGATCAGGGCGGGAAGTGGGGACCAGGCCCCGGGAGGAGGTACGGGGCCCGGGCGTAGGCAGCAAGGCGCTGGCAGCGGGGCCGGGGCGCACTCACCGCCGCACCGCGTCCCGGTTGGCGGGCCGCACAGGCCCGGCCGCCGCCGAAAGGAAAGGCCGGAGCCCTCCGGCTCCCTCCCCTGGGACACTTCCTGCTCCGCTCTAGGACCGAGGAGGTCTCCGCATCTCAGTGGTTCGCTTCCCCGCCCCCCGGCCGAGGTGTGCGCGGGGGGTGACATCCGACACCCCCGGCCCGCGGGGCCCGCCCCGCCCCGTTCGACTAGGCGCGCGGCCGGCCCGGGCGCCGGGCGGTGCTTTGTAGGCCTCCCCGGCCCGAGCCGGATGCACGCGATCCGGGCCCTGGAGCCCCGGGCGCCCCGATGCGTGTGGCCGGCCGTGGGAGAAGCCGGCCCAGGCTGCACTCTTCCCCGCGCCTCTCGCGGGCGCGTGTGGGCGCCGGGAAGGGCGGGTCTGGCAGCACTGGCCGGATGCCAGAACTGGGAGGGGGACGAGGAATAAGGGATCGCGGGGTGACCACCCGCACCGTGCCTGGGCCGGTGTGGCCCAACCCCTTCCAGCCAAAATTACAAATCAGAACCAGCCAGGCCAGCTGGACTGGTGAGACGCAGACCTGATCCTCCTTGCGCACCCTGAAGCGTCGCGCTTTCGTGTTCGGGAGCTCTCGGTTTAAGGAAGGCTGTAGCACTCTGTCTCTCCCGACACCGGGACGGTCCTGGCGAGTGCGCCGAAAGAAGGCTGTCAGTTCTCTTCTAGACGGACTCAGGGAGCTCTTTGCTGGCTTAGCGAGTGAAAGGTTGATACACTACAGAGAAAGGTGTAGACCTCAATTACGGAGAACGAGGGGCATTCGGGCACCAGGACTAGGACCTCCAGGCATACCCACAAATACTACCCTGTGCTGAGTACAACCCAAATCCGCTTCAGTTTCCGAGTGGTTCTCAGCTCCACGCTCCATCTCCAGGGCGCAGCAATGGAACTGGACTGAGTGAAGAGGCAGAGAAAGTTCTGCCAATACAGTAGCTACTGTGCTGATTTTCTTCATATCTCATTTCAAGGGTGCATAGAAGGAAGTCAGTTTCCTTAAAATTTTAAGGCGACTTTTGGAAACACTCCACCAGCCAGCCGACTGCTTTCTATCCTGTGGGCCTAGGGCTTTCCTTTCCTCTTCAAAAACTGGGATACTCCTGACTAGCAGTTACTGTCTCAAATGCCCGCACATAGGGAGGAAATAAGCACAGGAGTGAATGGTGATTGTTCCCCAGGTGGCAGCAGATCTGGGCCACCCAGAGCTTGGACCTGGAGCCTGCAGTAGGAACCACACTTATCTGAACCCAGCACTCCTGGAGTCCTCAAGCAGATAAAATGCAGGGCTTAGAGATGGCTGATAGACCCCCATGAGGTTTTCATTCCCCACGTTAGTTCCTTAGATCTTGCATATCCCTGCTCCCAGGTCTCCTCTCACTGTTCCGTAGCCTTCTGTGGCTCCAGATATGCCCTTTGTGTTTTTTCTGCATTTAGCTCAGTATGAGTGTAGTCACTGCTAAAATGCCTAAAGGTACTTATTTATGTTCCTCTAAGCAACCCTAATAAAACTTACTGGGTCATACACATAATATATGTAAAACTAGAAGGGATATTAGTTGGGAAGAGGAATCGCTGGAAGGAGGAAAAGAGGATAATGGGCGAGTATGATAAAATATATACATGTATGAAAATGTCATAATGAAATAGATTATTATGTATAACCAATATATGCTAAGAAAAACTTAAAAAATGGCAGTAATATAATGCCATTAGTGATAGACACCTTAAAGAGAAATGGAAAAGGCTGTGATGCAGGAGCTTGTTTGCTCAATCTGACTGAACAACAGTGTGACAATGGCTAGGCTAGAACCCAGTGACTGTTAACATTTTAATTCTATACATTAAACACTAGGCATAGTGTTACACACCTATAATCCCTGTACTCTGGAGGCCGAAGCAGAGAGGACCAGACTTTAAAGCTAGTCTTATTAGTGAGATCTTGTCAGAAAAAAAAAATAAAAAGGCTGGAGATGTAGCTTATTTAGTACAGTGCTTGCCCAGCATGCACCAAGCCCTCCAGCATGGCATAAAACTAGGTATAGTGATGCATGCTTGTAATCTCAGCACTCAGGAGGTGGAGGCAGGAGAATCAGGAGTTCAGGGTCATCATCGACTGTGTAGTGAGTTCATGGTCAGTTTAGATTACGTCGATACCCCGTATGACAAAAAACTCAAAGTAGATATGAATGAGACTCATTAATGAATGCCATTCCCATGAGTACAGACAGCATGTGATAGTCATATATGCCCATTCTCCCTACATCCTTCTTGGTCCCTAGCAAGCTCTTCTTTACTTTAGATTGACTTACTTTAAAAACTATTCTTGCTGGGTGTGGTGGCGCATGCCTGTAGTCCCAGCACTTGGGAGGCAGAGGCAGGTGGATCTCTGTGAGTTCAAGGCCAGCCTGGTCTACATAGTGAGTTCCAGGACAGCTGGGGCTACAAGGAGACCCTATCTCAAAAAGACAAAAACAAAACAAACAAAAAACAATAAATAAAGCTCTATTCTTAATGTATTTGTCTATTTATGTGGGTGGGGTTAGTATGCATGCCAAGGGGCACTTGTGGAGGTCAGCAGACAACTTCTGGAGTTGGTTCTCTCTTTCCATCTTGTGGGTCCTAGGGATTGAACTCAGGTTATGAGGCTTGGTGGCAAGCACCTTTACCCACTAGGCCATCTCACCTGGTTGTTTTACTCTTTTTTTTTTTTTTTAGCCTTTCTCATGTGCACATGTTGGGGAGAATGTGCAGTATCTTTCTGTGCTAACATTTCACTTAACATGAGGCCCTCCTGTTCCAAACGTTAGGCTATGATAGTATTTCTTTATGGCTGATGAAATTCCATTGTGTATATATGCCACATTTCCTTTATCCATTTAGCTGTGGATGGCCCTGGCTTCTGTGAATATGCAGTAAGCACAGAAGTTGGGAAAGTTCTGCTGTAGGTTGTTCTTAGCTTGCTAGCTGTTTGTTTGTTTGTTTGTTTATTTATTTATTATTTTTTAGGTTGTTGGAAGCTAGTGGTCTGGGAAGTTAATACAGTCTAAAAGGTTTCATGTGATTGTTACAAGGATGTTAGGTCAGACACCAATGTGGTCAATGAATGGCCATTCAGGAGGCTAACAACAGCCCAAGATAATTTGGCTCTGGATCTTTAACATTCCAACCCTCCACAATCACGGAAGTTGTGCTCAGTCACTCAGCCTTACAGAATCTTTAACACAGATGTGGCTTTTTTTTCTGGGAACTCAGTTTACACTGCCAGTTTCCCCATGACTATTCATTGAAGAGGTTGTCCTTTATCTAAAGTATGGTGTGGTGTGTTTGCTGAGAATCCATTGTCTCCAACTGTGTGGGTTTATTTCTGAGATTTTTCTTCTGATTCTTGTCTCTGTATATTCAGGGGTTCGAGTAAGGTGTGGCCAAGGACAGTTCAAATAGAACTCAAGGTCACTGAGTGGAACAGACTGGCAGGAAGCAGAAGAGAATTGATTTTAGCAAGTGGTCTCCTGACCTCCACAAAATTGCCCATATGCATATTATACATGCGAAATAGTAAATATTAAAAAATCCAAACAATAAAAAATAGACCCTCAGGAAGAAAGGTGGAAAGCTTCAGCTGGAAGTGGAGCTATCCCTGGGCTGCAGGAGTAGAGAAGCAGTCAGGTAGAAGTAGAGAGGAAGGGATGGAGGGGAAGGAGGAGAGGAGGGGGCAGAGAAGGAGGGACCAGAAAGTAGAGGGATCCTGAGATGGGGTATACCTTTCAAGGAAGAGCTGGGGGGTGGAGTCAGGATCCAAAGTGTTGGGCAGAAGCCCAGGAGCTACTGGGAGAAAAGGGGCATGTGGCTTGAAGTCAGCCCAGTGGACAAAACGGTAGTGGGCCTATGTCCCATCTGAAAGAAGGAAGGAATTAAAATACTTGACCAGGAGGCCAGAGGAGAGAAGAAACTGACAGGGAGGACCTGCTGGCTTCCAACTGCACAAACTCAGGTAGTCAGGCTGGCCATAGTACTTAGCTTTTGTTCTAGATTTTTCTATGATGGTGTTTTCTTAGATGGGATTAGCATTTAAATCTGTAGACTGTTTTGTTTGTTTGTTTGGCTGGGGATGAAACCCTGGACCTCATACATGCTAAGCAGTTGCTCTACCACCTCTACCAAGTGGGTACATCTCCAGGCCAAATCTGGTTACCTTTGAACAAAACAAATTACCCTCTGTGAGTGGGTGGGTCATTTAGTCAGCGGAAGTAATTCTGTCTGCCTTTGAACTCAAGCCACAACACACAACTCTTACTGGGTCTCCAGCCTGGCTGAATATTTTGGATTGTAGACCCCCCCCCAAATCTTATGAGCTAATCCTTAAACTAAATCTCAATCATCTCCCCCCTCTTTCTCAGCCTCAGCCAAATGGGGGCAAGGTGTGTGTGTGTGTGTGTGTGTGTGAGAGAGCGAGAGAGAGAGAGAGAGAGAGAGAGAGAGAGAGAGAGAGGAAAAAGTATGTAAAGGCTCCCTGCAGAGTGGAGTTTCATACAGAAGCATGGTATGTGCCTTTTCTGGTCCCAATCATTTGCGGGAGAGCATCGGATTTCTTCATCTCATCTTTTGGACTGATGACAAATACAGGTGTGAAAAGACATGACTGTAACCATGCTGGAAAGAAGGAAGACTCATTGAAGAGACACTTGTGGATTAGTGAGATGGCTCAGTAGGTAAAGGCACTTGCCACCAAGCCTGATGACCTGAGTTCAGTCCCTGAATCCCACACAGAAGAAGAAGACTCCTACAAGTTTTCCTCTGATCTCTGCAATTGAGCATGCATGTCTATACACAAACAATATGTAAATAAATGTAATTTAAAATGTTTTATTTATGTGTATGAGTGTTTTGCCTGCATGCATGTAAGTGTACCCGTGTTGTGCAATGCCTGTGGAGGTCAGAGAGGGCGTTGATCCCCTGGAACTGGAGTTATGGAAGGTTGTTAGCTACCATGTGAGTGCTGGAATTTGAACCTGGGTCCTCTGCAAGAGCAGCCAAGTGCTCTTAACCGCTGAGCTATCTCTCCGGCCCCCAACCCCTAAAATATTTTCAAAATACATTTGTATCC